CTAGAGTGTGAGACTGAGTGACCACAAATGCACATGTTACTTCATACCGCATTATAATATTGATACTTCCATGTTAGCAAAGCCCCTTTCAAAGCCTTTTCATGTGTCCCTCATTAAGAAGCCAGTGTTACAGTGCTACATTGTTCAGAGTTGAAGGCCAACCCATAGACTTAGAGAAGGTACACTCTACACCCTGCCTCTTCCCGGCAACCTGAGGGAGGCAGTTGGGGCAAAAGGGGTGGGACCAGACGTTTCGGTCGTGTCACACTGAAGCAGACTTGGTAAGAAAGGCCAGTTGTTGTTTTCCAACTTCAAAGTGATGGAAAATTGAGGCAAAAACAATAACCATGACATAATATTCAAACAGAATTACATCAAAACCTAGTATTTACTAATGGGTTACAGGATGATGGGTAAATTATTTTTACTTTTCTGTCTTTTCAAATTTTCCTCAAAGTGCTTTGTTTGTTGGTTTTTAATCAGAAAAACGCCTCTCACTTGCCAGTTGTTAGAAAGAGAAAAGCAAAAGAAGAGCAGAGTGAGTACATGGGCAGGCAGATCTGGGAGGTTGAAGACAAAATGGAATCAAGGCTTGTTATGCAAGATAAAGAAGGAAAACTAGGTCAGGTTTTAAGATCAGGCCTCCCTGCAGATAGCCCGGTGTGAAGGACGCTTCAGCGCCTCTGGTTCTTCCTTAGTGCACTAACTCGTAGGCCAGGTAAGGATAAGAATGCCCTGTTGTTTTTACTCAATCTTAATCCTCATGAGGTAGCTGTTGTGGCATTGATGCTTTTCACCACGACTTCTTCATACTGTTTTTGTGTCAGTAACCCTTCTGTTATGCTTTTACTTTCCTCAAACTTGGGCAACACAACTGCAGTGTAGCCTTCGGTGGATGGCTAGAAGGGAAATAGAATACTTAATACGGTCAAACGGTAAAAAAAAAAAAAAACAGATAAAAAGTATGTGGATGGGATCTTACTTCCCCAGACCCTTTTACCTTCTCTTGAAGAATAGATGGCTTATGGAGAATGCTTTCATTCACTTCCATCAACCATCCTCTAACACAGCTATTTAAAGAAAAAATTGCTTTGAAGAAAAATATTACCTTCTTTGTTTCCCCAAAATTGTGGTTAAAAAGTAACTCACCTAGACATGGTGTATTCTTCTCCATCAGAGCAGTAAATCTTACACAGAGGTGCAAGTTCTGTTAGAAACTGTGCCCCCTGGTAATAAAGGGAAGAAAAAGTTAATTGATGTACATTTTCACTTTTCTTTGTGAGGCAGCCCTCAGAGTCACAATAGGATATATTCCTGGAATTAGCGTTTTAAATAAAAATGACTTAAGTACAGAAAAACCATTGATTTATTCAAATACTTATATACTAAATGCCTCTATGGGCTAGGCACCACCCTAGGCTCTAGAGGAAAAAGCAGGCTAAGACAAATGTGATAATAGGTAGTTTAGTTACATATTAAGAATATATTTTATCTTAACTTATTATACTTTATATTTAACTGTACATGAGAAAGCTGCACATAGCCAAGTGTAAAGATTTCAAAAGGGTAGGAAAATCTTACCAATAAGCAGTAATATAAAATTCAACATTATAGAGAATGACAGCAATATTGTACAAAGTTAGTTTCATTAAGATTCCTACCTTATTTTTTATATTAGAACTTAACAGAGAAAGGAACTTCTTTATTAGGTCAATCACTAAGACTTTCTGAAGAAGGGATATTTTTCTAATTTAAAAAAATGCAATTTGAGGAATATTTGGAAAACAGAAAAGTTTTAAGTAGCAGATAAGAGTAACTTACCCATTATCCTATAACCCGCTAGCAAATACTACATTTTGACATATGTCTGTTTGAATGTTGTGGCACGGTTATACTTTCATGTACTCCACTGTATGGATATATCTGGGGAGGTTCTGACAAATATCTACTGAGTCGGCCAAAAAGTTCATTCAGGTTTTTCCCTAACGTGAAAAACCCGAGCGAACTTTTTGGCCAACCCAATACAAGGAGGCTCATGGGAAATGGATGCAAGCATGTCTGATGTGTTACCCTTTTTTTCCCAGGAATTTTTACTGCAGTGAACATCTGAGGTCAAGATGCTATTCTTTATGGCCTCTTTCCCACTCACAACATTATTAGACAGCATTCAGGAGTTACTGCATGCACTTCACTCCTCTGCCTGTGGGTACTTCGTTTCAAAATACTAGTCAGTGTGACTCCCCACTTTTAGGAGGAGGGGCTGGGGACTTGTCCCAGATGGTTTGTCTACCACTGGCTCTGTGTCAGAAAGAAGTGTTTTAATCCCTTTTTGTCACCTCCCATGGGAGAATAAATGATGAGCAGTGCTGAGATGTGATCAAAGCTTATCTACAGTGGGTTCCATATGCAGGTCCCTCTCTGTTCCTCAGAAGTAACAACAGTGTTACCATTTTGGACAAAGATTTATCACAGGAACATCACAAGCACTAACTGTTTTACTTGCAATTTGTAGACTTTTAAGAATGGTCTATGCTTTTTAAAGTCCACTTGCTTCTTGAGTGAGGAAAAATCAATAATTATAAGGCAGGTTATTAGGGGCCTTCAGGACTACAAAGGGGAGTATAAACAAGGGTCTTCCAGAACACTGAGGGTAATTAGCAGAAACTCTTAGTATGTACTCAGTAAATGAAGGATCTAAATCACCAACTGAAACTTTCCTATCCAGGGGGGTTTGTCAGGATAGTTTAGTATGGTAATGAGTTGTCCTTGGTGTGATACCCTCCTTTAACAATAAAATGTCCATCCTGCCTAAAGGTGTAGAGGGCAGAGGTAACATTTTCTATAACTAAACACTACGTGGAGGAGGAGGGTGTAGCTAGATGTGTATTAAATTGGCAGTGATTTAGGAATGGGAAATGATACGAAGCAAATACTGTATATTTTCTCAGATTGATTTTTTTTTCACTACCTCAGGACTTTTTTTACTTTTAAGTTCACATGTGAAAATATACGATAAAGAAGTATTGATCACCTAAATTTTATAGAATTCGAAATACTGGCTTAACAAAACTAGAAAGGACAAAATATCTTGTTATATTGGTATTAGAGTTGTTCTTTCAAAGGCCCAGCTTCTCCATCCTTCATCCTGGAGATGATAGGGATGGTGGCCCAGAAGCTAATATGACAGATAATATACCTTCTGAAATACTTCATTTTGGGGGCCTGAGAATTTCTTTAGAGTTTACGTAGTCTTAAAGTCATCTCTAACTGCCAGGGAAGTATGCTGAGCATACATTACTGGGTTCTAAGACTGGCTGGCTCTATCATTATTATGATAATAGATGATTTAAGTAGAGAAATACAGGAACATACCCGCTTAAATTTCCCAGA